TACTTTATTAATTCCTAGGCCCTTGGTTAGGATCTGAATTATTAAGTTTCACCAGTCTTAGACTGTGAATACAACTGTTAATTACCCACATATAACAAGTATTAAACAATATTCATAATATAATAATATTCATGTCTACTGGTTCACTAAGATGGGACTTGAGCACTTAGGGTTAGTTCTGGCCTTTCTCATAAGACCAAAGACCAATTTTCAAAGGTGATAATGGTGACATCTGATCACTGTCACAACCAATGACTTCAGTGCCCTCACTGGAGAAAGCAAATCTTTGTCACGGTGATAAGTACTTTAATTAAGTAATAACTAGACTGCTGCACAAAATTTTCTTTAGAGTAGTTAGAACTACAACTAGCTCAGAATTTGATGGACAGGCTGTTAAAAGGGCAAGCATATAAGAAACGAACAACTCTTTTACTGCAAAACTATACTGTCTTCCCACATAGAATTCAAAATTGCTGATTCTTGAAGCTGTTGTTAAAAGAACTGAATTTCAGGTCTGAAATATTTCTCCTCCTATATTAACCTCTTCCACCTAGTGAGATCCTCCTTTATACTAGTGTGTCCAGGAATATGCTCAACTAGGAGTAGATAAAAAGCCTGTTTTGTGGCTAAATCTAGGATCTGATACGATGTTCTAATCTATGGTGAACTGAGCTTGGAAAGCAACCAATGTCTTGTTCAGTTGTTTTGATACAGGGAAGGTAGTGCCTCCTAGAGGCACCACTCATCATTTGCACTGCTTCATTATGGACCAGAGGCAATTTCCAGGGACAACACATAAAAAGGACACTGCAGTATGCCTTGATATTGTTAGGGCATATGTCTCTGATGCTGGGTGTCCTTCCTTGGTGCATGAGCACAGCTAGTTTTCCATCTGTAGTTGATTAAAAAAAATCATTGTCACTGATATAATATGGCTATTTAATGTCAATATCAGAAATTTTTGGGTTGTAAGCGGTTATTACTGAATTTGTACTTTTTTACATTTATGGTTGCTTCCTGCAGTTTCTGGAGGCTATTTTCATATCAGGTTCTAAATTATTATGTCATAGCAAACTTTATTGTTAATTACCTTGAACTCATACAAAAGGGCAGGATGCAAGAGTTTCAATAAGCTAAGTAATACAAACATAGTTTTTTTTTTAAAAAAAATCAGATTAAGATGTCTTTTAAAATCGGAACACTACAAAATAAAAAATAAATACTTAGAATGAATTAAGGAAGTCATATGGGAAAAAATCCCAGTGAGGAATTGTAATTTCTTTCACAATTTGAGTGTGAATAAATGCTCCTTTTTCTATTAAAAACTCAGCTTTTATTCTAGAATTGATAAAACTATAAAGATTCTGAAACAGAAGATTTGGGCCATAGCCATGAAGATGTAAGTGGACAAATTAGGAACAATCCTAACCGAAAGCTTTTTCTCTTAGTTACCTTAGTTCCTTGCTTTCTTTCTTTAATCCCTTTTCTGCTTTATCAGCCTACTTGTAAGGTACCTGCACTTCTATTTCATCTTGAATTATCATTTCATTTTCCATTCATTATAAAGCAGAATGAATTTGGAATTTCAAACCATATATCTCACCAATGGTCACCCTCCTGCTGCTACTTTGTTAAATGTTCCATTTGAATTGAGAATATGTTAAATGTTTAGTTTAATGACATTCCTCTCCTATCCCAGGATAGTGGGATAGTTTACAGTGGGGGTCCCTAACCTCTGGTCAATGGACCAGCATCGGTCCGCAGGATGCCAACAAGTGACCCACACAAAAAAGAAAAGCTCCATCCATAGGATAGAGGCAGTATTCCAAACCACACACCCTCTGATCTGTGGAAAAAATTTTCTCCATAGCACCGGTCCCTGGTGCCCAAAAGGTTGGGGACCTCTGGTTTACAGGTCACAGATTTCCAACAAATACATTATATATTACAGCTAAATAGGCACATTCCAGATCATGCTTTCCAACCAAAGTAGGTTTTGTTCTCTTTCCTTGGTTTCTTTTTCCTATTCTTTTCTTTCTCTGGCATTGTTTCCTCTGTACCTGTTTACCTTATTGCTTTCATTCTGTCTAGCTGAACTGGAAGTAAATTATGCAATTTATTCTTACACCACCAGAATAACTTTTCAAAGACTGAAAAGAATGAAACCAAATTTGGTGTCAGGGCTAGTACAATAAATATCAAGTTCAAAAATGGTCAGGTGCTACAGAAAAAAAACAAAACAAAAACCTCCCAATGGATCCCTATGGAAGAGAAGGCCGAGCACTGTGTTAGAATATTGGCAATTGCATATTTCTAACTGTCAATCACATGATACAGAGTGGAACTATTATTAAAGGAGCATGCTCTTCATGCTTCACCACCTTATTAAGTTTACATTATAATGGAAACTTAATCTTTGAAAATGAAAGCTCTTGCAAAATGAGCATTTTCCCCTGGTTTCTCTTTTTGAGATCCTTGCAATGTTTTCTACTAGTAGGGCTAAACTGTTCTTTTTCTCAATGCTGATTATTTTTTTGCTGATTTACCTGATGTTACTTCATGTGACCTCATTTGTTTTTCTGTTGTTAGCCCATTTTATATTTTTTCATCAAATCTACACTACTGCAGAGCAGTTTTGAATATCCACTTTACCCGTGCCTCATATTTACAGTGTGGTGTAATACAGTTATGCAAGCAGTGATGAAAGGGATGGAAATGAGTGGTGAGTGATGCCACCTAGACATTTCAAACTTTCCTTTGCCTTTGTACTTCCTAGGGACAAAAAAAAATCTTGCTGTTAATCTCCATCTGGCACAAAGGCAAAGATTTTGGAAACAAACAAAAAATGTATTCTGTCCCTTTTAATTTCTTATGATGTCTCTTCCTAGTACTAGGAAAGCAATTTAGGAGGAAACAGTAAGGAGGAAACAGTCTAGCAGACACATGGCTATTAATACATTAGATTTTACAGGAGTGTTTGGGTCTAGCTCGAATATATTTAGTAAGTCAAATCCAGTTGAAGGTATTCGTAAATGTATTATCAAGCTATCTTTCATGAATGATTCATGGGTCTTTTGTTCTCATGTTCTATTTTCATTTTGAAAAAGATTATAAATTTGTGATAGTCTTTAAAATTAGTGAGGATATCAATTTTGTCTACTCTTTTTTTTAAAAAAAATCCATTTATGATGTGGAAATATGATGTAAATATGGTTTATTTCTTTGTTTTCTGTAGTACACCTTTTACTTATTATTTCGTCACTTCCTATAACGTATTTTGAAGCACAAAATAGTGTTTTGTGCTCTATACTGTTTGCAGAATTATTATTGAAAAATTATAAAGTTATTTACGCTAAACCCCAAGCCTGTCAAAATTTTAGACGAACTATACATAAATTGATTAATGTATAATGAAAGATTTCAAGGAAATCAACCTAAATTAATTCCCTCCCATTCCCAGTGGAAATTTAAAACCTGCTTGCATAATATCAGAATACTGCTGTGTGATTATAATAGAAATGAGGTAGAAATTGTGTTGTAAGGAAGCTCTCTGTTAATGTTAATTTAAGGTAAAATACCTTTTAAAACAGCTACAGAACTGGCTATACTCATTCTCAGTGGGCCACTGGCTGTGCAAGTTCAAAACTAAGAAAGATAAAATATATTTGCCATTACTGAGCGTTTACAAATTCATGTGCAATAACTGATGTTGACTGCTATAACATTAAATTAAATTATGTCTCAGTACAACTAGTTTCTTACCAAAGAATTCTTCAGAACTTGACATTTTTACTAGAGAGTATAAAACTACAGTTGACCCACAAAAAAAAAATATTTTGGAAATAATCAGTAATTTCATTATCCAATAAAAATAATGACTCACTGCTAGTAAAAACAAAAACTCTATTATGCAGATCTTAGCAGTTACAGACTTCAGGGTGAAGAACAAACTCTATTCATCTTTATCTGACAGATAATAGCAAATTTGGTATAGATTAACTGCCAAATATAAGAAAAAAAAGATTTCCTTGACAGTAAAGATACAATGTAGGCCAACTATTTGTATAATAAAGAGATAAGGAAAATAAAATTGGACTTATCAATCCAACATGTAAATATAACTTTACATTGTTATCACTGAATCATTGAAATGTTTTCTTAAAATTCATTATAAAGCTACTCCAATGCAAAATTCTGTAACATTAAAGAACGATAGCATGGAATTTTTATTTTGCCTAGAAGTGGAACTGAATCTAGAAACTGCTCTCTGCTCTTGTATGTCTTTCTAAATAGGACACTCAGTGCAAGTCAGCATGTTTTCACATGCTAATTAAAATTTACAGGAATATAGGAACAAAAAAGAGGCTAATGTACAGATTCTTCCCTGATCAAAAGATGAATATTCTGAATGTCAGGATTCTGATATTTCTTATGAGCAAGTTAAAATAAGTTTAAACTAATAATGAGAAATGCCTGTCCTTTCACCTGTTGTTTCATTTCTGAGCTATCAATACTTTTTTTTTGTTAGGTTTAGGAATTGGAACTATATGTTGAGATAGGACAGGCTGAATAGATGTTGTTCCTATTTGTTTGCTAAGGGAGTTTTAAAGTTCTTCATTCTTTTTTAACACCATCCCTCAGCAAATATATTTGTAGGCTGGGCGATAACAGAACTGAGCATGGATTATCAGCCCATCTATTTTAATTGCTTAGAATGAAAATAAGAGAGCAAGAGGCTTCTTTTTAATTCTTATTGTATCCTATGATAGAACAATGGAAAGTTAAATCTAATGGAATGTTCCAAATAGGCCTGATTTTTTAAAAAAGTTAATAATCTAATCTTGTTAATGATTTTCATATTTTGCCAATCTAACCATATAAAATATTTGGGAAAATGATATAATTAACCTGGTCCGTTTTTTATTTCTGGCTACAAACTGGAAGCAATAGAGATTGTTAGATATAGGTGTTCTAATATATATATTATATTTTGTACATACCTCCAAATCATTGAAAAATAAATGAGTATCTGCAAGATTAAAAATCATTTCTTCCATCCGAAGTCCAAGAGTCACCGCTACAGGTGGATCCTGGTTGGTGTGTGTGTGTGTGGGGGGGAACAGAAATGATACATATTCTCAGTATGTAATAATCAATACAAACTTTAGTTTTATACAATATGCATGTATAATAGAAAAATAAAAAGGCACAATTACACAATAAGTTAATAAGAAAAATAAAAAATAAGTACACATAATTACACAAAAAATAAGAAGAATTCTACATAACAATGAAATAGTTTTTTTCTTTGTGGAGTGTAATGTTACACTCGAAGCAGAATTTTTTATTATCAGATAAGTAACTGGAAAGAAAATTTAAAGGTTAGTGAAAACAGGCATTTTAAAAATGAATATCACGGTTTACCTAAGATAGAACAATCACATAATAGTTACAATCTAATTGTAACTAAAAATATTACTGAGACTATTAAAATATTGTTGTGAAACAAAATATCTTTTTTTATCCAAATTAAATAGCTTATACAAGAATTATATACTCAGCACAAAAGAAACTTCCAGCTTGCAATCCCATCCCTTGGTAATGATAGGTATATAAACAGCAAGGGGAAAAAGAGTATTCTGGTATGATGGGAATTACTAAAGGAACAACAGGAAAAACTTAGGTCAGTTTGAATTGGGGATGTGGAGGCCAGAAACCTTTGTTGTAAGATGTGTGAAAATAAAGTGATGAAAGCTAAAACACCTTAATGGAAAGCTATAGAGGCTTCCCTCTGTGTTTGATCATCAAAGATACAATGAAGAATTGGATTTCAAATAGTACCATCAGTCATGGCATTCTGCGTAAAGTCTAACAAATAAAGAACTAATATTTGCTAAACTGGATGCTTTTGTCAATGCGACTATGAAGTGGATTCCATCTAGCCCAGTTTTGTTGAATATAGTTAACTTATTAAAATCTGAAATCTGAGGACAAGGCAAAGAAAACCAATGGGATGTATCTATTTTATCTGAATGCTTTTTAAATTCTAAACTTCACACCTGATTCCTTTTAACAAAGAGGTTAGCCTGTGAGCCCCTTGTATGCAAAATATATTGCTATATGGATATATATTTGAGAGAGCCACTTCCAGAAAGTCACAGTACTTTCTAGATTTCTTAACAATCATTGTCTACGACTCTAGGGCAGGGGTGTCAAACTGCTGGCCCGCGGGCTGGATACATCATAGCAAACCCGCGCCCACTCCTTTGCTGGCAATGGCAAAAAAGTCGTGATGCCACGTGACGTTGTATTTGACACCACTGCTTTAAGGCTACTACAGCAGATCTAGACTGCAAAAATCAAGATGACCACTAGATGACACCAAAAAAAGTTTTTTAATCTATTACAGTGGTTCTCAACTTTTCTAATGCCGCGACCCCATAATACAGTTCCCCATGTTGTGGTGACCCCCAACCACTTATACATCACCGGGTGCCAGGGGCGTGGCCAAAGAAAAGGGAAAAAAATGGCGGACAGCGTTGTTTGGCGACCCCCGTGAAATGGTCGTTCAACCCCAAATGGGGTCCTGGCCCACAGGTTGAGAACCACTGATTTATTAGATCTCTGGAATTTTGTGTCCCAATCTGGTGGCCCTATCCTGGCCAATTGCCATAATCTCCTCTAGGAAGAGAGAGCAATGCCAATGCAATTTCAGACCCTTGCAGAAGAAAATGATCATTAGGCCCTATTGAATTTTTGGTTCAGACTTCATCATAGGACTTAGTCATGATCGCCTCAATGGTTTACATTAATAATGGAGAGAAATACAGGGAATACAGTCTTGCTATGAACTATTCTTGAATCTTGTCCTTGTTTTTACCACCTAAGAAAAGAAATGGGTCTTTAGACTAGTGTCTCCACATCCCAACATTCAAACCTGTTGTTTATCTACTTAATTTAGTTACAGCAAGAGATCAGCAGATCCCTTAGTTTATCCTCCCCAAAATGAGAAACTAGCAAGGAGAATTTGTATTGATTTACTATTTGCATGCTAATTTGGCCACAAGTAGATTCAACTCAAAATGTCTCTCAATAATAACATTCTGACATATAACAACGCAAAAATAATAATTTAGATCGCATGCAGTAAAATCTTGTTATTTCAAAATTAATTTCTTTGAAAAAAATCAGTATTTTATTTAAACGTATCATAAAAAAAGTCCAAGAATAATAAATATACTTTATAAATATGATATAAATTGTATATAATTTGGTCAATTTGGTCTAGTAGTTTAGGCACCATGCTAGAAAACGGGAGACTGTGACTTCAAATCCTGCCTTAGCTATGAAAACCAGCTGGGAGACTTTGGGCCAGTCACTCACTTTCAATCCAAGCCACCTCACAGGGCTGTTGTGGGGAAGATAGGAGGAAGATATATTAGTTATGTTCATTGCCTTGAGCTATTTGTAAAAATAATGAAGGTGGGCTTAAATAAATAAATAAACAAACAAACAAACAAGCAGATAGACAAACAGATAGGATCAAGAATAATTTTATAATATGAAGATGCATTACACGATTATAAAATAAAGACAAAGCTTAATTGGGCAACAATCAACTCCTTTCTTACAACCACTCCATGCAGAACCTCGACAGTATGGATATCAACTAGTTCACCACCCAATACGCAATTCAATCTGTTTTTGGGAACAAAGGGAATAGTTTGAACAGAATAACAGAGATGGAAGAGACCTTGGAGATCTTCAACTCTGCTCAATCAAGAGACACTATCCTTTCAGACAAATTCCTGTCCAATTTCTTCTTTAAAATCTCTAATGATGGAGCACCCACAAGTTCTGGAGGCACTCCACTGATTAATTGTTCTCACTGTCTCTTTTCAATGTTTTGTGTAGATAAACAAGAGAAGGGAAATACTTATGGCACTTACCTATGAAAATAATCATTCATCACTTGTTGCATGCATGTACATTGAGAGTTTATTCACAGCAGATGAATTCCTTGTGTGTCCAATAACACTTGGCCAATAAAGAATTTCTATTCTATTCTGTTCTGTTCCTCTTCTGTTCTACTCTACTCTGCTTTGATACTGAGTTGTAAGTAGGTGTGCAAAAGCTGAGTAATAAGCTCTTCACATCCTAATTCCTATAAATCTCATTTACTGTGCTTCTTCTTCTTTTTAAATAATAAAATACTGCTTTTAGTTTAAAAAGAATGATCAATACTTCCAGATTGGATTACTGTAATGCACTCAGTGTGGACCTGCCCTTGGAAAGCTCTGAAGGCTAAAATTAGGGAAGAATGTAGCAGCTAGGTTACTGATAGAATTTTATGGCTCAAAGTCCAGATCAAGTTACACTGAAGAACATATTCAATGACATCATCTCTATGGTTACTATATTCTTTGAGGGGAGAGGAAAGATCCTCTCTTTGTGTGTCACAGAGTGTGAACTGCTACTTGGTGAAATATGGATATGAACCTTTCCTATCTTGTGCAATGACATTTCCCTCCATCCCACATCTTTGAAATTTATCTTTTTTCCAGCCCTTTTCCAGCCACTAACATCTTCTAATCTTTCATTTTTTAAGGAATTACTTAATGTTGCAATATTATTGTTATACTGTTGTAAATTATTCAGGATTTTATACTGATGTGCAGAATGGAAATATATTAAATATAAAACAAGAAAGTACAGTTGCAGCCAAATGGAAGAATACAACTTGCTACACTGCTATGAAAGAGGAAGAAGTTATAGAAGGATATTTCCTAGGAACTATTTACAGAATGTTATATTGCTTTGGAAATACAAATAGAGGGAGGGAACGTGAAACAAGGATTAATTAAAAAAATCTATGTAGTAAGTGAACAAAATAAAAAGATAAGCATCTAGTTAATACAGAACTAAAGCAAAAGAGCCAGGAACAGCATTGTGCTTAAAATGAAACAGCACAAAGAATACATGTACCAGGGTAAATATTTGATTGATAATAACATGCGATAACAAATTGAGCAGTGGGTTACTACTTCTTCGTAGATAAAGTGATATAACATTCCAATAAAAATAAGAGGTATACAAATTAGTCAGGATCTGATCTGACATAAAAAGAGAGCAACATTCTATTCCTATTTGCAATTAAAGACTAAAAGCAACAAGACTTGCTTCAAATTTATTTGAAATTCAAGGTTCAACTTGATGAAATATTTAATCACTAGCTACAATAGAGAGACATCATAAATGTTTCTAGCAACTTTATTTGAGGGCAAAGATGGATGAAAATAATAGGGAGGTAAGATATTGCAAAGAGTATCTTCAAGGGTTCCACAACAATACATTTTATAAATTATTCCCGATTCTCTTTTAAATGTTGGTGTTATTCTTCTTCTAGAACAAACAAAATGAACATTCTTAGCCCACCCCATTGCCGGCAATGGGAAAAAAAGTCATGATACATCGCGACACGTCACGTGACATTGTGAGTTTGACACCCCTGGTTTAAAGCAGTGCTTCTCAAACTTATCAACTTTAAAATGTGTAGGACTTTAACTCACAGAATTTCCCAGCCAGTTTAAAGTATGCTTGTAGGATACTGATCTTGGTAATACCATACAAGATATAAATTTGCAAAAAATATGGAAATCAGGTAGATTCACCCCAGCTTTAATGCAAGAACTGCAATGGAAGATACACCATTGGCATTTGACCCCAGATTGGGATATATATATATATGCATATATATATATATGCAGTTAAAATAATAATTGCTTAACATTGGAAAACTGTTGTTTATATAACAACTGAGATGTGGATTAACAAATTTGTTCATTTATCACATTAAAAACAACTACACATTTAAAATAATGAGTAATCAGAGGCAGGAGCCACAATTTTATTAAATTTGGATGGATTTTTATGGTTTACCTGAGCAGCAATAGATTATAATATATTACTTTGTACATAAGGCAAATTTGTACATGTATAGTATCTTTTGTTTACATTTGTTTGTATTTTCTATATCTTTTATCTATGCGGATTGGATTTATGTTATTTTAATTACCTAATGATGCTTGTTAGTCACAGTTCAATAAAAATTTTTTTTTAAAAATTAGGTGTCATTTGGGAATAATGTGTTATATGCAGATTGTCCAAGACTTTTTTAAAACAAATCTGAGAAATATACATGTTATCACTATTGCGTATACAATACACAATGCCAACTAGAAATACTCTTAAATATATAGTACATAGTTTACCAGCAAGCATACTATCTCATTCTCACAGGACAAAGAGAGAATTTGTTAAAGAGAGACATAACAGCAAGGTGGATTTTTTCTTTTTTTTTAAAAAAATAGTGTACTAAATTTAAGTCTCTCTTTTTTCTCTCCAACCTAATCAAATTCAAGAAGAGCAAGGCAGAAAAAAACAAAGCACATTACCCCAATGGGGTTTGCTTTCTAATATATTCTGAAGGCACTGAATTTATGAACTACAGCAGAAGATTCAATTTGAAAGGTCACTCAATTTTTTTTCAAACTGAGTTATCCTTTGGAAGTTTCATACCAACAAAGAGTATTTTCTTTGTGAAAATAATATTTTCAAAGAAAGTCAGTTTGATCTATTGGTTAACGTAACAGGCTAGAAACCAGGTGACTGTGAATTCTAGTTCTGACTTAGCCATGAAAGCCAGCTGGGTGACCTTGGGCCAGTCACTCTCACTCTCTCAGCCAGCTCATCTCACACAGTTGTTGTTGTGAGAAAAATAGGAGGAGGAAGGTGTGCTGGGTATATGCACTGTCTTGAGTTAATTGTAAAAATAATAAAGGTGTGCTACAAATAATTAACTAAATAAAATATTTAGAGTTTTACATTAATATAAGTTTAAAGTAAATTAACCATTAAGTACCATTTTACTTCTTTGAATATTTAAGCAATATATCACTATATAAAATTCATGTCAATTCTCCACAGTCTAGGAATTACAGAATATATTTCTGTAGCAAACGGTGCAGTTTTTCTTCCGAAATAATTTATTAGTCATGCATGAGATGAGTTCTATGCATCTGCCATATATGAAAAATGAAATGTAAGCAGTTCTTTTTAAACATAATATACAGTATTATAAAAGGACATTAAGAGACAATAAAGAAACCAACGTTTTAAATATGTACTACTGTCAACTTACTAAACCACAGGAATGGTTCTGTGTTAATCCCCTTTGACTTAATAATGTTTAAATATATATATTTTTGTGGATATTGATCCTATAGATATATGGAAAAGCCTCCCAGCTTATTGGCTCATGGGAATATGGGCCTTATCCAGAGATTGCCAACATTGCAAGGGAGGTAAGATCAACTATAACACTTCCCTATATCAAGATACAAATGCCTTTGGCTGCATTAGCAGTTGGCACACACTGGAGCCAGACAGTCTGTCTGTTGACTTCTGTGCTGAATTGGGCCATCTCTACTAGAATGTCCCTTAGGAGACAAATATTCAAAGTTCTCAGGGGCTGAGAAGGAAGCCTGAGCTATGTTAAAAGCTATGTCAGAATTTGAAAGTTGTGCAATGAGATCAGAAGAGAATCAAAACTTGTTTAGAGCAACAGAATAGAAAATATTTCTTTAGGAGGATTTGGTACCAATTTGATTTCCAACTTGTTTTGTGGGAAATATTAAATAAAGCAATAATCATATTGGATATATTTTGTATCTAAGCAGAAAATGTCACCTTTAATATAAATTAATCTTCTCTTTTTTATTGTACTGACTTTTCCTGAATTGCTTAGCTATTATGATCTATCTTAAATTTTTGTTGGGTTGTGAATGCACCGGGGTGTTTGGAATCCTTCCTTCCTTCCTTCCTTCCTTCCTTCCTTCCTTCCTTCCTTCCTTCCTTCCTTCCTTCCTTCCTTCCTTCCTTCCTTCCTTCCCTCCCTCCCTCCCTCCCTCCCTCCCTCCCTCCCTCCCTCCCTCCCTCCTATTAAAACATATGTTTTTAGAAAGCTGATTATTTTACTGTAACTTGTTATGAAAAGCTGCAGTTAATTAGTAGTTGAGTATTTTCCCAATCAATCACAAAATATTTCAATAGCAGTGTTCAGACTGACATCTAAATGCTAGTTCAGTGATGGCAAACCTTTTAGAGACCAAGTGCCTAAACTGCAACCCCAAACCCACTTATTTATTGCCGGGTGCCAGGTGGGCGTGGCCCATGGATGGGCATGGCTGTGGTGGTCATGGCAGATCACCTCAATGTTGTTCATGGGGAGGGACACCTGTGGGGACCAGGCAAGGTTGTGGGAGATCCAGAGGGTCTCTGACAGGTGGGATGGTGGGCAGGAGGCTCGTCCTGTGGAGAGAGGCGAGGCAAGGTGAGGGTGCCATTATCACAGGGCAAGGTGAGGCAGGGGCCGGGGCCGCTGCTGCCTGACACCATCGGCCCCTACACACAGATGCCAGTGAGCGCACGGGTGCTGGGAGGCATCCAGCCAAATGGGACCTCGGTGAGTTAGTGGGCGGCTGGTTGAAGAGGGATGGTTGCCATCTCCGGGGCATGGCGCGCGTGCCCACAGAGAGGTTCGCCACCACTGTGCTAGTTAAATAAAGCAAAGGAAGCTGATTTTAGTCACAAAAAGCAGTAAAGCCTTGAGAAGTTGTAAGAACAACAGGACAAAGTGTTATTAAGTATCCAGTTAAAGAAATCCTGCATTTAATGGGCTAGGAGTGGGGGTATACGGAAGAATGTCCATTAAAACCAAATCTATATCATTTATGTGAAGTTATATTACTTGACTTTTTATGTAAATCTAAATAATAACATTTGCAATAAAACTTAGTAAATCCTGAAGTAAAGTCTGAATGAAAAAAAATCTGTCAAATCTAGGACTATTAAAATCAAATTTATTTATATACCAGAAATACTGCTGAGTACTATGGGAATAATTCAAGGACTTTAAACTTAGCAAATAAATTACTCTACTGCACAATAATTAGCTACGATAAAAGCACTAGGTATTTCTCACATACCTTTCCATATTTCTGTGCATAAGATCCTGTAAGAAGCGAATGGAAGACAATGATAGTTTCATCCAAATCCCAAACAAATACACGCTGAAAACAAAAGAATCAAAAAATCAATATATACAAATAGGACAAGAGGCAGTTATCCAGAAATATATGTAGCCCCAAACAGTCTTTATGGGAAAAAAAAGTTTTTATGAATCAATACTTCAAGTAAAGAAAGATTTTACTAAAAAAAAAAAAAGGCAGCTGTATAATCCCAGAAAAAGTTGAGGATGCTTTTAAGGAGCTGCAGACACGTGATACATGAATATTGGACTACACTCCAAAGCATTTTTTTTACTCCAAAGCACTGCCCAGCCCTCTCGCTGCTTTTTTATATTTGAATTATCAAGCCAAAAGTAGAGATTATCAAAGAGCTTGGTTATTTAGAAATATCAAATAGTAATTTTAACTTTTATATCAGAAAATTTTCACTTATGATCAATTTTTATGGTCATATTAAAGAGGGCAATTATGCTTTTTAGCAAATGATCAAATATACTATTCTGTGAAATCACACATACATACATACATACATACATACATAAACTCCTTAATGATATCCCATGCAGATGTATTTTGTGATTTGCCTGTTATCTTTTAGCACCAGGAAGAAAACGTTTTCTATCAGTTTTCAATCCAATATGAGATATTTAAACTTTAATAATTGTTTGAAAGGGGAAGAATGTGTCAGGGAATTTATCCAAAGTAGACATACAAAGTGCTCAAAATAGAGGTTCCAAGCTTCAGATTGAGATCTGTAGACTCCCTGGATTCTTACACTTCAATTACAATTACATTCCAAGAGAAGGCATAAAAAGGGAGAAAAGAAAATGTTATCAGGTCGTAACTTTATGAAATTAATTTGTTTTAAAAAATATTTTATACAGTACTTAATCTAATTTTGAATGAACAGCATTTTCTATTAATATGTATTCTTCTTCTTCTTCTTCTTCTTCTTCTTCTTCTTCTTCTTCTTCTTCTTCTTCTTCTTCTTCTTCTTCTTCTTCTTCTTCTTCTTCTCCTTCTTCTCCTTCTCCTTCTTCCCCCCCCCTCTCTCTAGTATGAATTACTTTTTGACCTTCATATTGCTATTAATTTGTAAGAATATACCTCCAAGTCACTATCAGGAGGAGGAGATGGGTTATTTTTCCTCCCTCTGCCCCTTGATTTTGACCCAGAACTCCTACATGTTCTTTCATCAAGCTCTTTGATTGGAGTTGAAGGGCTCTGCACAGCATCAAACTCTCCTGTAAAACAACAACAGTAAACACTTATCAAAATACAAGTATTCCTCATTCAATTTTATGGTTTACATAAGGTACTCCTAAAGCTTTGAATGGGCAATTTGGATTACCTGTAAATCCCTAATAATTCAAGAGGAATGAAAATAATCTGCTTACTGAGATTCCTCACCTTCTTTAACTATGAGTATTTGCCAAATTACAAAGATTGCGTGAACAAATAGAAAGGCAAGAGATAGAGGATATCCTAGGTATTTCTGTATAATTTCGCTGTGTAATCTTATATCTGAGCAGACTATTTTTTAAAATTAGAAACAAACTTAAATAAATCAATCAACTTTCCATACTATGGGATGTACAGTTCTGTTCCAAGACAGAGGTCCTTTAACATTCCATCTTTTGAATATTATGCAATGCCTACTTCATAAAGGTCAAGCACTAAATGGAACATGCCCAAATACTTGTTTACCAAAGGAACTCCCATGTCTGAAACTCTAGGAGCAGATGTGAAGGCCACCAAGAAATAGTTTTTAGCTTAAGAGATATTAATGAAACATAAACGCTATTGTGCAGAAATAGACATTGAAAATGTCTACCACAACATAGTAAATGATTTTTACCTATGAGTAACCTTGCTTTTTAACCTTACAGTCTAAGACAGTGAGAATGCAGGCAGTTCAGCATTAACACTTTTCTGAAATGCAGGTTGCAAATTAAGATTCCTTGACTTTGTATTCTATTTCATGAGTTCTTCCTCAGGTGATGCCATATTCTGTGGGCTTTATATGCTATTAATAGAAGATCTGGAAACTAGCAGGGTAAAATAGGTTTGAGTTTATGAGTAGCAGCAGCTACAAAATGGTTATATGGTACATTTCTGGATACAAATCTTTGAGATAATATTAAGTCAGAAGTTCTTCTCAAAATGGAATGGCTGTGGGTGTTAAGAATGTCCGGATCTGAAGATATTCCATCCTTGATCTTGAATGGGGTGGCACTTCCATTCAATGGTAATGTAAAGTTTGAGAGTTTTCTGGATTCATGGCTCCTACTTGAAAATAGCTGTATATAGGAAGACCTTTGGCTTGCTTCATCTGTACCCTTTCAGAGGTTGGAGGGGAGGAGACACTTCAGATAGCCACTCAAGCTCTGGTAACCTCATGCTTGACTACTTCAATGTGTTCTGCATGGGATTGCCCAATTTCCCCAAGATTTGACCAGTTCCCACACTTCTGGCATTTTGAAGGTCCCTGAAAATACATCTTGTCACCTAGGCCTTTGGCGAGGATGATTGATGCACTGTTTTCTTCTTTTTTGTTGTTCCCAGAAACTTACCCCAAACCTTTTATCTTTTGATATCTTTCTGGGAATAGTCAGACTAAATGGTTGACTCTTTACTAATATTTAATGGATGTTTGTTGAGTAAGAGTGGATGAGATTTGATTCCTTGGATGTCAAATTTATACTAATGAAATCTGTTTTCAAGCACACTTAGCTACAATTAATGTTAGCATGCACCTATATCTGTGATTTTAAATGACTGTAACACAAAATCAATGAAATAGTACCTGGTTGGCTAGTAAGACCTGGAAGGGATTCTTGCAGCTGGTATGTTGATGAGGATGAAGAGGTGCCATCTGTGGTATTATTTGATGTCATATATGCTCCATATGTTGATGCTGAATAATACTGTGGATATTGATTTTGGCTGAAAGCTGCATATGATGGATAATCCTAGAAAATTACAAACAATATTTTAATGAAGACTAATACATTTAAAACTACATCATTTTTTAACCTAAAAATAGAAATAGGACAACAGTCTTGTTCAAATAAATTGCCAAATCAACTTTATAATACTTTGTGCTTTATAGACAAAAAAAATCATACCTGTTGTGAACTATTGAAGTTTGTAGAATTTGATACTGAATTATTTGCATAAATAGTGGAGGATGGTGTAAAACTAGAACCTAGAGTTAAAAGAATAATTCACTGTAAGACCTTAGCAATACAAATGAGAAATTAAATTTTCAGTTGAAAATTAAGAGTATATAATTAAAATATGCACTTATCTCACAGTTTAAAACTTTTTAAAAGAAAATTTGATATGCTTAATTATAGCTTAGTATAGTATTGTTTGTAAAGAACACATTTATAAATTGAACAAGCTGTCAATAATATTTTTAATTGTTTCTATATATTCCATATATTCCCCTTTCATAAATAGGTTGCTATCAAGTTTCACAGAAACATTAAAAAACACATTTACGCATCAGCAAATCTACTGAAGTTTCAAAAGCTTTTCCTTTCTTGATCCCCAGCTTTTCCCTTCAGGGAAAGGGAACTTCAGGGGATATCTCTCTAGCTATTATCCTGGGACATGTATATTTGCCTTCATTCATATATTGATAATGGTTTGGGGAGGGCAATATACTTAATGTAATTTGGAGTCATTGAAGCAGTAGGTGTGAACTTAAATGAACTCCAGAAGATGGTAGAGGCAGGAAGAATATTGTCCATGGGGTCGCAATGGGTCAGACTCACGACTTCGCAATTAACAAGAACAACAATTTATATAATTACAAATTATAAGAACTTCTAGTCCATGAAGTGACCATATTTAAGATGGCCATATCATTATCAAACAGAGAGTAGCTCATATCTCTCCAACATTCTCAACATAAACAGTTAAGGAGTAGAATCAGCACTATGGTGCTGGAGAAGACTCCTGCGAGTCCCTTGGACTGCAAGGTGTTCAAACCGGTCAGTCCTAGAAGAGATCAACCCCGACTGCTCTTTAGAAGGCCAGATCCTGAAGTTGAAACTCAAATACTTTGGCCACCTAATGAGAAGGAAGGACTCACTGGAGAAGAGCCTAATGCTGGGAAAGATAGAGGGCAATAGAAGAAGGGAACGACAGAGAATGAGGTGGCTGGATGGAGTTACTGAAGCAGTAGGCGTGAGCTTAAATGGACTCCAGAAAATGGTAGAGGACAGGAAGGCCTGGAGGAATGTTGTCCATGGGGTCGCGATGGGTCGTACACGACTTCCCAATTAACAACAACAAGAATCATAGTGAGGACAGCAAAAAGATCTCTTCAAATATTTAACAACTAAGGCTAAGAAGCCTGCTGTATTGGGTTGCGTAGAATCCCATTTTATTGCTTTTGGAAACCTGTCTCTTCAGAGTTACTTAAACTTTGGGTTTTTTTTTTCTTTTTGTTGTGTGTGAACATACGAAAATTGTATTGTGAACCCTGAACCAGGCATATCACATATCACAAACTCTGGAAAATCTTCTCCAAACTCAGCCTTGACTACATCTGGTAGTCTTTGTGACATGCAAATTGGACTACCATAATACAACTTGTGTTGCAATGTGTTGCAAATTACTCCCTGAAGAGTATTTGGAAGCTTCAATTGGTGTCAAATATGCTGGTGGATGCAGTCACTAATGCCATGTGAACCACTGCTCCATGAGCATTTTGGCTTTCTTTAAAGTCCTTCATGGCATAGGATTGGGTTACTTGTTGAGACTCTAGAAAGAGTGCAGAGAAGAGCAACAAAGATGATCAGGGGATTGGAGGCTAAAACATATAAAGAATGGTTACTGGAATTGGGTATGTCTAGTTTAATGAAGAGAAGGATGAGGGGTGACATGATATCAGTGTTCCAATATCTCAGGGGTTGCCACAAAGAAGAGGGAGTCAAGCTATTCTCCAAAGCACCTGAGGGCAGGACAAGAAGCAATGGATGGAAACTAACCAAGGAAAGAAGCAACCTAGAACTAAGAAGAAATTTTCTCAGTTAGAATGATTAATCAGTGGAACAACTTGCCTCCAGAAGTTTTTAATGCTCCAACACTGGAAGTTTTAAAGAAGAGATTGGACAACTGTTTTTCTGAAATGGTATAGGTTTCCTGCCTGAGCAGTAAGTTGGACTGTAAGTCCTTCAAGGTCCCTTCCAACTCTGTTATTCTACTCTATTCTACTTATGGGACCATCTCTCCCAAGTTGTTTCTACCAGTCCTATCTGATTGGGCAGGAAAGACATGCTCTGGATACCATCAGCTAGGGCAGGGGTTCTCAGCCTTGGCAACTTTAAGACTTGTGGACTTCAACTCCCAGAATTCCTCAGCCAGCTTTGCTGGCTGAGGAATTCTAGGAGTTGAAGTCCACAAGTCTTAAAGTTGCCAAGGTTGAGAACCCCTGAGCTAGGGAGTGTCAGCTGGCAGGACCCAGAAGAGAAGCTTTTGTTTAGTTCCCCCTGAAATTAGATTGACCTCATCCTTGTTGGCCTTTTGTAAAGTGTATTGAGCTGGGTAAATGTGGGTTAGAGCTCATTTTCTTGTTGCAGGGATGACTGCTCATGCCTGGCTGCTATGTGTTTTTACTTTTGTTTCACATTATGTATTTTGTGTTTTTATTTGTTTTATTGCAAGCTGCCTATTACGCATAAAAATGAGACGGGAGACTATATAATTTGAGTGAACAAATCTTTTTACTCATTTTACAGCCTCAATAATATAGCCTCCCACCCTGTTAGGTACCATCTTCAATCACCAAAATGTCGCTTATCCTTGTTGATTCTGTTGAAAACAACTTTGCATTCTAATGTAGAGACATGGTCATCCTACTCATATTTCTATTCCTAACCACTAAATCAAAATAACAGAATATGCACCGAGATCATTAACATAAAATCTATGCTTTAATGCTTGTTTCATAACACTACAGGTAACAAGTGCTGCTTGCCTCGTGATATATATTTTATCACCTGCTGCCCCCTCCCAAATGCCTCTGAACCTACAAACATTTTATTATTGAATGTTTTGGGAAACTGAATAGAGTTTAAATTTAAAAACCCATCACAGCTTCTTTTTGTCAAGATACAGCGGTACATAAATATAAAAGTCATAAATATAAAAAATATTAATTTTGTGCCTGGTATTTCAGACTAAGAACATTAAAAAGTGCACAAATTATACAGAGATATGCTCAAGATATGGATTCTCAAAAGCTATTTCATATAGGCTTTAATTACAATTGTTCCCACTATTATTCTCATTATCAATCTTTTCATATTAATAGTATGATTTATTATTATTTATTTATTATCAACGAATAATATCTGTGATCATTTCTAATAATTTTGATAAATAACTCTTCCATAAATTTTGAATAAGTTACATTAAATGTGTAAAAATATCAACCAAATTATCTAATTAAAATTTCAGATCATTATACTTTTCTTTTTTTAAAGAAATGGAAGGCTCGGACAGGTAATAAATTTTACTTACCACACTTACTGATTATGTAAGAATTATATGAATCTTAAAAAATTAAAAAAACAACAAGGTATTTCTCACCTGGCATTTGGTATGAATATGGTGCTTGGCCTGGCTGTGGTGTGGAGAACCCTGGGCTGTAACTAAGACACCCAGTCTGCAGTGGTGATTGTGTTTGTGAAAGTCCACTTTCTGTCTTGATACCCGGCAACATTACACCCAAATCTGTGTAAAAAATTAATGTTCACTTGATTCTTACAATGGAGCGGGGAGGGGAAACAAAGAAATTCCATGATGCCAAACACATTCATCAGAAAATAAAGAACAATGGGAACTCAAATACCGTAAGCAGGTAAGCTGTAAGGTTGCCCAGTCTGTGAGTAGGCTGTATACACTGCTGGTTGCTGCATTCCTGAATACTGGGTTTGACTGGCATAGGCAGACATTGTTTGAGCTGCTGGTGTAGAAAGAATATGTGGATAGGGCCTAAACAGCAGGGAAATGGGAGAAAAACTATCAGTCACATAAGATAACACCTAGATTGTTGATTCAAGCAATCATGCCTTAGTCATCTCCCAGTGGATTACTGTCACATGTTCTACATGGGGTAGCATTTGAAGAGCACTTGGAAGCTGCGGTTAGTCCAAAATGCACTGGTATGGGCTTTTGGCATTTTTCATTATACCCATATACCCATTATACTCATATACCCATATTTCTCTGCAAGTTGCATTGGGTTCCAGTGGGCTTCTAAGTGCAATTCAAAATGCTGGTTATCACCTATAAAACTGTACATGGAATAGAGCCAGATTATTTTTGGGTCTGGCTGTCTTCCACCTCCCATCAAGTCTAGCAATGAGGGCATGCTCCATATCCCTTCTATAAAACAATTGCATCTTATTGAACCCAGGAGTTATGATTTGTCTGTGACAGCACCTACCATGTGGAACAGCATCTCTCAAGAAATCCAGACCCTATTAGATTTTCATAAGGCACTGAAGACATGGCTGTTCTCTCTGGTGTTTGGAACAAGATTAGGCAAGCTCTACTGTTTTTATAAGTTGGAATTACTGTTTTGACTTTGGGCATGAGACTTTAGACTGTAAAAGGAAAGAACTAGGAATGTAACTGAAGTGAAGGAATGCTTCACAAGTATTTTTGAGAATTGCAGGAAATTTACAATAATATATCAAATGTTGGAATTGAAATGTATAATTTAATATTAATGATTGAAGGAAAAAAATGACAAATATGTGAGTGTGTTGTTAAACGGTAAAGGCTAAGACTAGAGTGCAAGTGTTGATGTTAAGAGGTATTTCAAAATATATGTGGAATTGCTTATGGAGAGTTTATGTTTAAATTGTGGGCAAAGCTGCATCCATGCTTGGAAATTGAAAGAATCTTTATTATTCCAGCCCACTTAACTCTATGAGTTTAAATTAGAATGTTTGTTGATATAGAAAAAATATGATATAGTGTAAAGGTTTGAATTTTGGAGTTTATTACCCAAATATGGAGTTGAAGGCTGGTTGTTCAATGTGGTAATGATAATATATGACTGAAATAATGCATGGGGTGCACAACAAATACTCAACACTGAGTAGAACAAATATTTGGTTAAAGTATTTAAACATTTAATGCAGAAAGAATGGCTATAGTGATGTTAGGGGTGTGTTGATTGGGAACATAATATGGAAGTACATCTGTATGGAGATGTAGTTGTTCTACTAGCCAAGAAACTGAACGATTTACAGTAAATGCTAAATAGACTTCAGGACACAGCAAGGGATACAAATTAATGCATCAAAGACTACATAGCTATGTTTGTCCGGAAAAATGAGATGAATAAAAAATAAATGAAACTAAATTAGGTAATTTAATTATAAGTTGTAATCTATTGTATTATGTATGTTAATGTATTTCTATCAATGAAATTACCAACAAATGCAGTACAAGATTAACAGTGCTATAAATATAGTACAGACACATAAAAACAATAAGGTATATAAAATAATATAAAAAAGACCGTAAGTTCTAAAAAAACCAGTCCTTAGATGTCAAATATCCTGGGGAATACCAATGGTTTTACTATGCACTTAAGTAGTGAGGAAATTGATGTATGGGTGGTTTATTTACACATGAAACTCAAAATCTTTTACAACTATTATCCAATGCAAAGATGCAAAAATAAGATTAATAGATGGCTATGCCTAACCATAACCAGATTTAGAGACATATAATATAATGCCATTCTTATCACCATTACTTCCCCTAGTCTAAGTGCCCCAGATTCAGTCAGGAGGATTTCATCCTCCTCCAAGTATGTGTGCTTTCTGGATAGTTGTACTAGTGATGATTGGAGTATACAAATCCAGAAAATAATCATGCCAACACACATAACTCAGAATTTTAAAACTTCGTTTTTTTCATATAAATAAATCACCTTAACATGCACTTAACCTAAGAAGAAATGAGTATAAACCAAGCCAAAGTGTAAATCTTCATATAACATTGCATTTTATACAAACCCAATGTAGTTCCTAAATTTAAACCAATATTTAAATAAAGTACATGCAGAAACTGATATACAAATAAGATATTAGGATACACATGCACACTAACTTGGAGGGATATAACTGCGGTGAGTATTGATGTGATGATCTTGGACTGTAGCCACTGCTCGTTATCACTGTAAAATAGAAAGCGTTTACAATGTTCAATCTATCAGCTGTTAAGATTTTTAAAAAGGCTTAAATTTTTTTGAATGTCCTAAATAAAATTGGTTGCATTGTGTTATTCTTCACAATTTTTACCTGGAAACAAATAACTAATCTATATAGTGACTAACTTTTTATGATCTTATTTAGTTTGGCAGACACATTTAAGCAGAATAGGTTTTTATAAAGATAAAATAAATACTTTTCAAGTACTATTCCTGGACTGGGAGACCGTGCCATTGTCAGCTCCTGTTTGGATTACTGAAATGTGTTGTACATGGGGCTGCCCTTGAAAGTCATATAGCTGCAATCTGACCGGCATACACAGCAAAGGTATCCTGCGGTTCACCTGAGTAAGATGAATGCTGGCTTCCAGTTGCTTCCTGGGTGCAATTCAAGGTCTTAATTGTCATCTTTAATACCCTGTATAGCATATAGCCAGATTACTTGTGGGCCCACCTTTTCTTCTTGCCCATCCTAATGGATGAGACCTTGGAAGCATGCCTCCCTGATGACCACTCTAGTCCTTTGGAACAGCCTTCTTCCTGAGATTAGAGGGATCCTTACTCTCTTAGCCTCCCACAGAACTGTGAAGACCTGGCTTTTTCCCCAAGAATGGGGTTGAGTTGTGAGAATGATAGGTCTGGTGCCTGGAGGGAAAGGATATTTTTGTTTTTACCTATGCTTTTTATGGATTGTTATGACCTGCCTAGAGTCATTCTATAAGATAGGCAGCCATATAAGTCCCATAAATAAATAAACTTTGTCATATGAAACTTGTGCTAAGATTACCAATGAAAAGCTTGAATGTAAGATATTTTATGGAAATAAATCTTTACTAAAATTTGGAAAAAAAAATCAAGCATTTATGTTTTATGGAATATAATTTCTGTGCAGCTATTTGCCATGCTAATGAATACTCATTTACAGATTTGTTTCATTAGAAAGCATTTATATTCAAATCAGTTGGGTATTCAGTTTTCATCTCTCCTTAGTTATTGGAGACTTCTACCTCCTATCCTATTTTGTTTCAGAAAATTAACATGGAATAGGGAATAACAAGGAATAGGAATATCATACAGGAATAAGAGTCAGCAAAATGAAAGAGGCTAAGTCTGGCTAAGTACAGACTCCTGATTTAAGAGCAGTGGGGACAGTAAATATGTAAACATAATAACCACCATGCACAATATAATGTTATATATCTGCACAACAGCAATGCCAACAGGTTTTTATTCTATCCTGGCACTCTCCAGATGTGTGAATTTACAGGTGAACAACAGGTGGAAAAATGATTGTTATCTAGTTACTCCAGTGTAAGATTTGGTAAACAAAGCATTCCTGACTTATATGTTCAAATATTCATATGATGCCATGTAGAATAAATTCATTCACGTTGACAGGGCAACTTGCTCATAAAACAGCACAATATGCATTATGGAGTATAAGCAGAACACTCTGCATTTATAGCAATGAGTTCAATAAGTATGTGATTTCTATTAAATGTGTTTTCAACTGTTTAAAAGTGATTTTTGGAGGGCTAAAATAGTGGGGCCACAAAATGGAATTGCTTAAATTTATACAAGTGACTTTATTAATCCAATACAATTTTAACAATTGCTTCCCAGGCAATATCATGAACTTTTCACACTGAACTCAGATTCAAAAGATCTTGTGCTGAATTTCACAAAACTATATGTTCCAAAGAAAATTAGTTTAAAATAAAGAAAATGAAGCATGGGTGTCTACAAGCCGGTGTTCCTCAAATCAAAATGATAAAAGCAGTGTGGGATCATAGACTCTGCACATTTTGGATCTGCAGCACTGTTTTTTTGTCACTGATCAGTTTGACACATCTCATCCCCCTGCTAATATTGTTGAAATGACTCATGGAAATATTTCCATATTTCTTTGGATTTTCATTAACAGTGTTGTTCTTAGTATTAGCTAGGGCAATGGATTCTGGCTTAGGCTGACAGTATTTATATCTCCACTATAAAAATACAATGTTTCATGAAGTGAAAGTGAAAGCAGTATTAATTTTTCTTTAGAATGGAAAATATTCATTTAATTTTATATAGAAAATGCACCAGTATGGTAACTACCAATTGCATACATGCCCACACAAAAAGCAGCTGTATTTTTCTGCAGAAGCTTAAATGATAATAATCATATTCTATTAAAATCATTCAAGAATATTGCATAGTCTGTGCATTCCAAAAAATGTCGTGTTTCTCTTTCATCTAACCATTTTAGCTATGGCAAATGTGTTCCAAATATATATACCAAAATGTGAATGAAACCTTTCAGAACCATTCTGTATCAGCACTCTAACATAGTGTCTTTATTAATAGCCATCTGCATTTCATTCACTTTTAAAAGGATAAAAGCACTGTACAAAAGGTAGCCTTGAAAAATCTTTTAGTCTAATCAATCATACTTTTACTTCAAAGTAGTTTCCTTTTTTCAACATGCCAGCCTTTAGCATTTTTTAGGTAGGTAGTAATCCTCATCATTTTGCAAAACACACTTTAGGCAGGAACCAAAGAATCATGGAGTTTCTTGAGCAAAATTCTTTGAATATCACATTTATTTATTTAACCATAATTAAGCCTCTTCCACTTCATCTTCATGGCATTTCAAGAAACATGGTTAATTTCAAAAGCACAATGTGATATGATATGAATGGCTGACAACTAAAGAAAATCAAACTTTTCGCTGGGTATATTGACAATTTTTGTCTCCCTTTTTACAAAGAATCTGTTTAATATATGACTTTAAAATAAACTCTAAATATTATAGACTTTAAATGATATTTTAAGTTTTTTAAATGTTGAAAATATTTTAAATAGCTTTTGAAGCCCAGCAGAATATGGAAGGCTTTGTAAGTAGTAGAAAAAGTTATAAGTCATTACATTACAGTATACAATTCTAAGTTTTATGAAAAGTATAAATTAAAGATGATTGGCCATTCACAACAATTTTAGAACCTAATCAATCTGAAAACAGAGTGTAATAAACGTAACTACAGTAAAGCCAACTTCCCATATTATCCTGAAACTGTTTTTGTATTTCTTTATATTTTAAACATTAGAATATTTCTTAGATGAATGAAGTTCTTTTTACAAACTTAACCCAGAAATTCTTCTGCTTCCTTGCTATCTGGATGATATTTGCAACCTTTAATAATTGTATACATTTAGCTTAATTATTTTAACAAAATAAATGATTTTAAATATTAAATTCTATTATTTCAAAGATAGAGCATAGAAACAGATTTTAGTGTATTATTATCTGTTACAATAGTTGGGGAAAGCTGTCCAGAATAGGCAAAATTACACTTTCCCTAAATTCTTATCCTTGGCACTGTTATTGTCATTCATTATATCTATAGACATATTGTATTTATAGGCACTTTCTTGAGCATGGAATAAAAGTGATACAAACTTAAATGCCAGCATATTTTCCTGTGGCATTATATAATATAAAAAGTTTATTTTTGTAAGGAATAGTCAGAAAAACTATAGATATAGATCTACATGCAGTATTATGAGCAAATTATGTGTTTTACCTGACCCAGTAAAATTGTCAAGAGATCCATCTCCACTTGTTGTTGTTGTTGAGTCATTACTGTTCATAGGCTCTGTTTTGACTGCAAGAAGAGACACTGTATAGAAGAATGGCAGATGTGAGATTGTATTTCTATATTTATATATATCATGCCAACTAAAGCAAAAAGTAAATAAATTTGAGATAAGTCAGACTTTACATACACTGAAAAAAATTAGTACGATTCTTAGAATATCCTTCAGCCATAGAGCCATAGCTTTAAAACCATGCACTACTTTTAAAAATTAAAAATGCTAACATTTATTCATTTAAACTGACTATTATATGATTTTGATCAACAGAGAAAGCTAGAAGTATTTACAATACATTCTTCAAATATCCCTCTAACAAAGAGACAGGGCTTTTCAAGATTATTTTTTGGTTTTCCCTTTTTCTCCTTCAGACTCTTGATCCCACCTCCTTTTGATTTCTAAAATTTGTTCCTCCAGATTGATCTATGTCTTAGAACAGGGGTCTCCGAACCTGCATGCTGGCTGAAGAATTCTAGGAATTGAAGTCCACAAGTCTTAAATTTCCCAAGTTTGGAGACCCCTGTCCTAGAATAAAAGGTAATTGACTCAAGCAACTGTACCCCCAAACTCTCCAGATAAAACATAATATGCTTATGGTGTTCACCTTTCTTTTAAAATTATTTGACATTTTTTCATATAGGTATAGCATGTGTTTTGCATATCAATAATATGGCACAGTTTCTCTACTAACCTAGATTCATGTTCGTAAAATCTTACGGAATATATAAAGTCAAACTTAAATAGCAAGATAGTTTTTGCTTCCATTTTAACTAACTGCAATTTATGTCAGAGCCAAGATAATTTTTTTCTCTAATAAAGAAAGATAACTTTCAATCACAGATTATTTATTAAGTGTTGCTTTTTGAAACTATAGTGTAAATGAAAAATAATTTTAGGTTCATAAATACAAACTATCTATGTTGTTGTTAATAGCAATTCCAATCTCTATTTCATAGGCAGTCCAGAAGAGAAAGGAAGTGATTGTTAGATATGAATAAATTACCAATTCAATTTCCAGCTTTTACTCAGATAATATGTGATTAAATAAAATTGTAGCTTAATTAAACATAATTAATTATTTTTCTTCCTCAGAATTATTTTCCTTTCTCAGAAAATTGGAGGAAGGAATTTTTAAACTACTTTTACTATAGATTTTACTGAGGTACATTTGACCATATTTATTTTATTTATTATTAAATTTATAAGGATATCCAATTCCATGATGGCTCTGGTGGCATATAATAAAATCATTAATTAAAAAAGGTAAAAATAAAAAATGACAATCATCCCGAAGAAGAAAGACCGTTCATTCTAAAAATAATACAACACACAGTACCATCATCTAGTCCAGGGGTAGGTAGCCTTGGCTCTTTTATGACTCATGGAGTTGAAGTCCATGAGTCATAAAAGAGCTAAGGTTGCCTACCCCTGATCTAGTCTAACCCAAAGCCTGAGGAAAGACCGAGGTTTAAGGCTCTTATAAACATGGTCGTGGTAAGGCACAACGGACCTCAGAGGGAATCTTGGTCCAGGGGGAAGACACTGTGACAGAGAAACACATTTTTCAGGTTTCATCAGCATGGAGCATGCCAACTCTGATCATACTTATGGGCAGAAACTACAGAAGACAGAAGGTGTCTTAGATAACCAGGCCCTATGTTAGGAAGGGCTTTATAGGTAATAAAAGGAACCTTGAATTGCATCCAGAAATCTACTGGTAACTACTGCGTAAAGCAAAGGTGTTACATGGGCCTGTCATGGCATATCCATAATTCTGAGTTTCGCATTGTGCACCAGGGGGCAGCCTCATGCAGCGGTCTATATGTAAGGTGCTTTCAGCACAGTGATTGGCTGTGAGGTAAAAGAAGGGGGAACTATATCTCTGTTCAGAACTAAGGATAGAACATTCCCAGTCCTAGTGATTCAAAAAAACTCACAGGTAATTAAAATTTCTCCAAATATCTTTGATACAAGTAAGCAGCATTATACTGGACTCCCATTAATGTTATAATGATCTGTGTGGTACATAGGTCCACTTTCCTCCATACATAATGTTGTTTTTTTTTACTGAAATTGTGTCTGCTTCTCTTCATTTTAATTTATTTTATATACTGATGTAAAATATAGCAGAAAGTCTTTTAGAACTTCTTTGCACAATATTTATAGAAAGATTTCTAGAAATAGAAGGGTATGCAGCTATGAAGCAAAAACAATAAAGCAAATTATCAGATGCTCAATACAATAAATCATCAATCCAACCACACACATGCATTATGCTAGGATTGCTCATACTTGTTGCAGAAGAAGGAGTGCTGCAACTCAACAACCAGTCTGCAGTGTTTAAAACAGTCATGTTGTCTCCTGAGAATTGAAATGGTATACAGCGTTTCATTGTCTGAATATCTCCTCAATGTAAATAAATATTTTCAGGATAAAAAAATGAAAAAAAAATAATACACTGCCTTAACATTGGAATATATGCTCACATACAGCTTTGATCTCTGTGTTGCTTTCAGGCAAACAGATAGACTTACACAAGTTAAAATGATCACTTATATTCAGTAATATGTTTTTAAATATTATGAAAGATGGCCTGAGTTCACTAGCATGTTTTTAGGAGTCACAGTTCTCAAAACAAACCTCTTTAGTTCATATTATTGGAAGTGGTACATAAAATAGATATTTTCATATTAAAATCCTATCCTTAATTCAATATATCAGGTACAGGTAGTCCTTGAGTTATGGCAGCAATTAAGATTATTAAGCAATGTGGTCCTTAGACAAAATTTCATGCAACTGAAGTGCTTAACAATAGCAATAACAACACTTCCCATTGCAATCATTAATCAAATCCCACTAGTTGTTAAGAGAAGATCCACCATGATCCAAACCATTTCCAGCTTTGTCTCTCTCTCTCTCTCTGAACCCAGAGCATCAATAAGATAAGGGGCAGTTTCCTCGGTCTTCTCTTAACCTCCCCCATCCATTTAATTAACCCCTCTCTCTGCCTTTTTTTGGCTGCTCTGCACATCAGCACTCCTCAGTGGCAGAGCTAGGGCTGAGGTGAAGGTCCAGGGCCTTTAGCAATCTCAGCCACCCACCACCATGGCTGGCCTCTACTTCAGAATGTCTAAGGTCTTCTCAAACATTGTTGAGATTGGGACACATTATTTGGAGAATAGCAGGAGCAGCCTCAGGAAAAAGGCCTGCCATGGCCAGCAGTTGCTGTATATAAGGCCAAACCAGGTGTACCTCGTCAGTAGCAAGAGGAAGATGGCTAAGAGGAAGCTGGGCGTAGGACTTGAAGGAATGAATGTGTACAAACAAATTTCACCTATCTGAAGTGAGGATTAAGTAGCAAATTTGGAAAAGAATAATGGGATTACAATACAAACAATATGAAAACAAACCCAATGTACAATACAAATAATATGAAAGGTATTAGTGTCACACTGGAAATGAAAGGGAAGAAAAGCTTAGATCTGCAATACTAGGGTATTCAGAAGACCATAGGATATATTTAAAAATGATACAATAAGGAACTATTCAGTAGACAAACAAACAAACAAACAAAATATCTGTATACAGCTCTTATTGCCTCACATTTAACAGATTTTTTTTTTAAATTAATGTATACTTATCTAAATTTTTCAGCTTTTTCAGGAATCTGATTATGGTCCCCCATAAAGCAATTACATCTTGTAAAATGCCACCGCATTTTCTGGATTTAAACTAAAAGAGGTTGATTTTTCACTCACCGCCTGTTCCATTTGTTGTAACAGATGTGGTGCTAAGGTTAGATTTGTCCAGTTTAGAGCTACCTGGTGCTTCACTGCTTCCCACAAGATTATGAGGACTCGCTAGATCCTGCATTTCCATAGATCTATTAAAGGACAAACAAAAAAAACCAAACCACTATCACTATGCTATTTGCATCGTAAAAATGCACAGACTCTTCTGAACTAACCATACTTTGAAGTAAAAATTGAAAACGAACATTTCCTGAAAGCCAACACTAGTCTGCAATTAGCCTCATGATTATCATTTCGTGATCATTATCATTATTGAGAGAGAAAATGGTAGAAAAAGAAAAGAGGAGAGGAGATTAGAAACATTCCACTTGAATCACGTTCTTCTATGGGTGGGGGGAGGGGGGGATGAGGGGCATCTGAAAGTTTTGTCCCAGAAATGTCAAATGCCTTTTGGATAGCAGCCTGCAATTATGCATGCTGTGATTTAACTGAAGTTCATCTTCAATTAAAAGTGGAAATTACAGGTAGTAGTTGTCATGGCTAATTTCACCCAGAAATGTAAATGTCATGTGTGTGTGTGTGTGTGTGTGTGTGTGTGTGTAGTAATATAATTATTTTGAATTATTCCAGGAAGGTTGAACAAAGACATGAAAAAATAACATTTTTTAAAAAGGAATAACAATATCAATAGAAAATATTCATCTCCTTAAAAAACAGCCAAAGTAAAGAGATATAATTTTAATACAATATTTGGGTAAAAATAATAATTGGCATTTAATAGCAAGTCAATGTAAGGACTTTCATACAACTTCACCAGTTTCAAATCACTATGTATTTCTGGAACAGAAACTGGGAGATGGAACTAAGTAGGAACAGTGAAGCTGTGACATGAATAGCAAAAGGCAGGAATATTATGAAGCAAGCCTCCAAGAACTGGCATGCTAATTGGAGAAAATGACAATTTCCTAAAAGTTACTACTTTCCAAAAGTATTTGCTGAGATAGAAAATTCATATGGTGAAAATTAAATACCAAGTACATTCTGGAATAGTGGAAAATTCTTGCAAATGAAAACTTCCTACAGTTTGTCATAATAACTATACTGTATATACTGATAAAAATAAAAGCTCCAAATACATACATTTATATAATGGGAAAGACAGTACTTTTTAAAAGAAATAATGCATCTTGGAAATATGTGGCTGACTTAGACAATTTATAGTTTCATTGCATAGCAAAATATGGAGACTGTACATTTGTAACAAAAATATACTGTGAATGTTTGTCTCAGAAGGAAACAAAATTCTTATCTCATTTCATATTTATATATTTTTCTATGACTTCTCAGTTTTTTAAAAATAAATTTTCTCAAAGCCTTGCTTTATGATATAAGAAAACTACGTGGGCTTTTGTAAGTGATAACATTTATACTTATGTATTGTATATTTATAATACTATTCCACCTGTTCCCTCCATTATCAGGTTTCATTCCTGGCATTCTCCAGTACAACTGTAAAATATTCCTGTCTAAAAAACTAGATACTTGCTGCCAATCAAGGTAGTCAGGAATGAGTAGGTGGACTAACGATTTGACTGAATATAAGGAAACTATGTCCTCTGTTTTGAAGCTAAGGGTAACAGATAGCAAGGCATGTAGCTCCAATGAGTGAAAAAACAGTACTAAGATCTGCTTAAATGAGACACTGGAGTTCCAGCCCTGATTCCTCTGACTTTTAGCAAATCCAAGATTTATTTGGTGATTCATGTAATATTTTATGACTAGTACTATTCACACTTCCATATCTTCAATCAAATATGTATATAATTCTTACCAGTGCTTTTTTTCTTAAAAAAAAAAAAAGGTGCCGGAACTCACACCTCATACAACCCGCCTTGCCTACCCTACAAGGTTCCATCCAAAAAAGGTGCCAGAATTCCGTTCTGGGCGTTCTATGACAAAAAAAGCCCTGATTCTTACTTATTTCCATGATTCCATACATGATGTTGTATGACAGATGGTATCCTCAGATTCATAGCCACCACGGTTTATGTACAAATAGTATCCAGAGAAGATGTTGATGAATTGCCTCCAGCTATGCAAGTCACTGTTTAAGGTTATCTGACATAATACACACATTCCCTTTCATTTTTTTTAACTTGTTCAAAAGTGCAACCAGAACTTGTTTCAAGATTTGATTATATTTAATAGTGTAACACTAGAAAAAAATGCCTCACTTTGTTTTTTTATTTGGGACAAAACTCCAAAAAGCTTTGTCATGAATCAAAATATTCAAGACAGCCATCCTGAACTTGAAATTCTTTCATACAAGCAGTGGTGGGATTCAGTGGTTCACACCACTTCGGCAGAACCGGTAGCTAATTTTTTGTTGCCCAGGCCCAGAATGGACTTCAGAAGCAGCATCCACAGAGAACCGGTTGTTCACATATTTGAATCCCACCACTGCATACAATCATTCTAGAAGCCATCCATCTCCACAAAGTAGCTTCCAACATTGAAAGCAAGGAAAACAATAAAACAATGAGAATGAAAAGAATACTTAATTGATTAAAAATCCAGAGGAACTTCAGACCACTCTACCAGCAGGACAGGGAAAGCAGTCATGTTCTGACAACTTTTTTAATATCCATATAGATCTCCTGGAATATACAGCTGCAGAGAGCAGGAATATATTGCATATCCCTTTATGACAGACATGTCAAACTCGCACCGTTGCGTGACGTATCGGAGCTTTTTTGCCATTGCCGGCAATGGGGTGGGCGCAGCTCCAGTATGATGAAACCGGCCCACGGGCCGGCAGTTTGACACCCCTGCTTTATGAGAAGATAACTCATACCCTAACACCTGACAATTTGATGTATTGAGACTGGTTGTGGTGAAATTTACATAGATCCTCTTTGGAGAGGGTCATTCAGGTTAAATTTTAGGCAAATGTTTGTGCTAAAAAAAGAAATGGTTGATTGCCTAACTATTTAAAACTGTTCTTTTTTTACTTAGATTTATCTTCTGCTTTTAGTTTTCTTACTGCTCTTACTTTTTCTATATTGCTCAATGTTGCTTACATTTATATGAAACAGTATGATGAGTACAGATGAAATATTGACTTATATCCATAGGAGCATCACACAGTTGCATAGTCAATAAAGTATTTCAATTCACAAAAGGGATTGTCGTCATTTATTTCCAATTCCTTCCCCAATTTCAGTTATCTTGTGCAGTATCTCACATTATTCCATTTTCAGAAGATAAGTAAAACTGTTTAGTTCATGATGCTTCATTAAAATTATTACAAACAGTAATATAATATGTGCTAAATTTGGTAACAGCAGTACAAAAATCACACTAAAATGAAACATTATGTACCAAAACCACAATACAAATAGTTATTTCTCTTTAAGTTGAGTTCTCTTAAGTTAGTAAAAAAACCTGGCCCTGAATTACTAAGAGGAAAATCTAAAATTTTTCTCAATTAATCAATAGAACTCCAAACAATGATAATTACAATTCTAGGAACAAATACTGTATATAGGTAGTCCTTGACTTACTACCACAATTGAGCCCAAAATTTCTGTTGCTAAATGAGACAATTGTTAAGTAAGTTTTGCCCCATTTTATGACTTTTTTGCCACAGTTGTTAAGTGAATCACTGCAGTTGTTAAGTTAGTAACATGGTTGTTAAGTGAAACTGGCTTCCCTACTGATTTATTTGTCAGGTTACAAAAGTGATCACATGACCTTGGGGCACTGCAACCATCATAAATATGAATCAGTTTCCAAGCATGTGAATTTTGGTCACGTGACCATGGGGACGCCACAATGGTCGGAAGTGTGAAAAACGAATATAAGTCACTATTTTTGGTGCCATTGTAATTTTGACTAGTCATTAAATGAACTGTTGTAAGTCGAGGACTACCTGTAATTTGTTTTTATCAGTCTCTTGTGAATGTTAAACTATAGCTCTCTCTGAGCTAACAAAATCCTAAGTGTAGAGCAAAAGAAATAGCAGCTCCAATATCTGAGGAAAAATATATCTCAGAATTCATATTTTTGGGGTCACCATCTTTGTCAGTACTGTAAATGTAGATACAGTCAGCTAAGCCCGCCCTCCACCTATACAGATTCCATTATTGATGTGTGCACTTTCTAATATACCTCTTCCAGCTTATAATTTAATTGTACTTGCAACAACCTCATTATTCTAGTTCTGGATCTCGTTTGAGTAGCAGACATGAAACCTCTAAGGATTGGACTGAAACCACCATACTCACTTTCACTTCTAACCAAATCCAGATTTTGCCTTTGAAAACCTAAGGTAGAAAACTGATTATGGAAAGGCAAATCCATTTCTGCTTAAAAAGCTGGGTACAGTTACTGTTCTTTGGGAATTGACCTTATGTTTAGTCACTTTCAATACTTTTTCAGAAAAATACAGCATGGAGAATATTGAAATACTGTACAACTGTATTGTAAAACTTGATTATAGTAAAGAAAAATGTTGGGTGTATACTTTAAATATATAGAAGCCTGGTGGCTATTACATGAAATACCTCAAGAGAGAATCTATGAAACTCATAAAGAATCTTACCTATTGAAAAAAGAATGTGGTGATCAAGAATTAATGAAATGGGGGGGGGGATAATCCTTTGGGATACTCACTTTGTGCAAACATCCCATCTGTGGTTCAACCACATAAAAGGCTCATGGACAAATCCAAACACATTAAGAGAAGTGCTTGAGGAATCTGCCAAAAAGCCAGATGCACTGATTGCAGAATTTCTTTTTTAGCTGTCATCTGAATCTTCTAACTGCCATCCAAAATATGAGCAATATGAAAAATTGTGACCTATAAGCGAGACACAATGAGTACTTCTTAAATCGAAATGGCCATCTGCATCCAGGAATGGGTTTTTTAAAAGGATGATGTCAAAGGTAGTAAAGCTATGTGTGCTGATGATAGCATTATTTATAAACCATCCCTTATAATCTTATAATATTAAATTACTATTTAAACTAGGATTTCCTGTCCCCTATTTAAGCAGAATCCATGCTGCTTTTATGTTTTCTTTTTTTAACTCCCTCATCACCTATTTTTCTTTACCATTGCTTACATGCT